CTCCCTCTCTCTCTCTCCATAATTTATATCGCGGTTTCGGAACGTAAAACCCCAACAATTATCGCTATTGTTATAATCCTCCTCAACTGTACCCATCGTGTTGGCTCGCTCCTTACAAGTATCCAGCGGTCATCACCGCTTGTGACTTCAACTAATAACATAAATAATGCTCGGCGGGGCAACGAGGTCACTTTCGCTTCTCGTAAACTGAGATAGAGTGGCAGGGCTGGTCAGCAGAGTAGCAACATTGCCACAGTGAACCTACCCACTTCGGTGGGCTATATGGTTAAAGGAGCCTATCCATCTGCGTTGAAAAAAAAAAAAGGTGAACGATTTAGAGTAGCAGGTACTCTTCTATGGGAGAGCACTAGGCCCTCCCTTGGGCCTCACTGATAAGTGCAGAAAAAGTTGTTAACGATTTAGAGAATGTTGCATACTCTACGATGGGAGAGCGGAAAGCCGTCCCGTGGGCCTGAGCATGAAATCATGTGTTTAGAAAGAGTGGTTAACGATTTTGAGTACTAGGTACTCTACTATGGGAGAGCAAAGAGCCGTCCCGTGCGCAGGCAGAGGGGTGAAAAAAAGCGCGTGCCAAATCATTGTGTGTTTAGAAAAAGTGGGTAACGATTTCGAGTACGTAGTACTCTACTACGGGAGAGCTTAAAGCCGTCCCCACTGCGCGCAAACGTTTATATAACTGTTATTGATGGGGGCGTCTCATTGGCGACTTCTATTGTTTCCCCCATGGGGGGCGTTGTCATACGAAAAAAAAACACGGTATCGGCGTGGTACAGAAGTGCGGCCCTCGGAGGTGTGCCGGTTGCACACGTATCCGTATGCGCCGCTTTCAAATAACTTATTATCTCTCGATGATGGACTTGTCGGCGATGAGCCGCTTCTGATATGACAACCTGATCTTTTATCGAAGTCACTTGCAACATCAAGTTGGAACGTGTCATTTCTTGTCTGGATGTGAACGATTGACTTCACGCTAAGGCGTCGGCGCCCGAACGTGACTCGCGTACCGGCAACCGATCAGAGTCGTTTCGATTTCGCCGGGGATAGAAAAATAAAAATAAAGAAACAAACAAAGAAAGAAATGTACGCAGGACGGGCATGCACACGTCAGGCTTCGCTTGGCTCCATTTTCCCAATCGTGGAAGGGATCCCAAATGGATGGATGGATGAAAAACTTTTATTGGGGTCCTGAAGGATTCCACCCCCGTTTTATAGGGGTAGGATCTGCTTTTAAATTTTAATCGTCAGTCGCAGGCAGAGCAAGACATACCCTGCGGAGGTCCGCAACTCGTTGTTACGCTAAACCAGCTACGTTGAAGCCGCAAACATCATGCCGATCCACGTAAAGAGGCGTTCGTGTGCAGCTCGATTCGTGACTGGCAAACTCATCGCTGTATTGCGGGACCGAAACTGTGGTTTGTCCACACGGTATATGAACGCTACGATGCCTGACGAAAATCCGATTCCCGCGCAGCGAGCACACTGACGAGTTGCGCCGAGTTCGCTTTCAAGGGAGGCTGGATGGATGGATATGGCTGTACCCTTTTAGATCGGGCGGCGGCTAGCGCCACCTAGCCGTAATGCTTAATGAACCAAAATCTAGATTTATTTTTTTTTCTTTAAAAAGTGAGTTTGGGGATTCGTACTTTGCAGTGAAGGGTTTAATTTTCACTCGTGCCTTGACTTTAGCCACCAATCAGATAACCTCCTTCTAGTTAATTCTACCCGCTTAAAGTCTATTTTGCCCTCACTGTCCCTAAACCCCAGTTCTTTGAAAAACTCTGCGCCATCATCCTGAACTATAGGGTGAAGCCCTCTACAGAACATTATCAAGTGTTCGGCAGTTTCTTCTTCCTCTTCACACGCACTGCATGCCGTGTCTACCCCTTCGTATTTGGCCCGATATGTCTTGGTTCGCAGTACTCCCGTTCTGGCCTCAAACGGTAGAGAACTACCCCGAGTATTATCATAGATCCTTTTCTCGGCAATTTCCTGCTTAAAAGGTTGATAGGTCTCTAGTGCGGACTTCTTAATCATGCCAATTCTCTACATATCGGTCTCAGCTTCATTCACCTTCTTCTTAACCGATAATTCTTTTTGTTTTGGCCCCCTGCTGTTTTCCAAGTATTTACCCGTCAATTTTCTGGTTCGCTTCCGCCATTTTGTATCGACATTCTTCATGTACAAGTAGCTGAACACCTTCCTAGCCCAACGCTCCTCCCCCCCTTTCTCTCAATCGCTTCTCAAATTTTATCTTGCTGCCAGCTTCCCTGCCCTCAAATGATGTCCATCCCGTATCACCTTGTACTCCCTGATTTGGTGTATTCCCGTGAGCTCCTAAAGCGAGCCTACCTATTCCACGTAGCTTAATGTCTAATCTTGCTTGAACTTCTGATCTCATGCACAAGACCGAGCTCTGGTCTTGTGCACAAGTTGTCTCACATGCACAAGGCGAAGGTTCCTCGCAGCGCCCTCTCACCTATTTTGTCAATGTATGGGCTGGCTTTGCACCCCCCCCCCCTCTTGTCTTGGGTGACCATAGGGAGGGGGGGGGGGGCATCCCTTTGCCTCTAGTGCTCACATCTATGAGCACGAATCATTCTGGGTTTGGCTATAGACTTTCGGGTCACTCAACAATGACGTATCGAGCGCGACGACTCCTCTCTGCAGCCGTCAACGGTCAGCGAAGAAGCTATCGGTCAGCGCGCGTAGCTGCAGGCTTCATTCTCTCCCACCAATGTCCCAAAAAGGCGATCGACTTTTCGCCAGTGGCGAACGTCTCGCAAAGTCGTTTGTCTCCTGCAGACGCCTTCGGGCAAAACCATTCGACTTCGCGCATTCGATTGATTTTTCGCTGCGGCTCTCGGGAGTCCGAACTGCGGCCCGTTTCCGGAAATGCGTTAGCTCGTTAATCACGATTACGAGCGAAACCGAGTACGCGACTTGTTCGAAACGGTGTTTCCTGTTTCACGTAGTTGCTACACGATGAACATATCGATGGCACTTGTGTTAAATGTCCATCTAGATGCGCGTAGCTTGGGAAGCTGTTCTAGACCTAAGCCAAGTCACGAGAGAAAAGTGAAGACAACATATCGGGGCTTGTGAAGGATTTTGCATGCCGCCGCGTGAGCTTTAGACCCGAACCGAATTCCGCCAATCACGGTTGGCTCCCGTCCATAGCTTGAGCTTGCAAAAGAGCGAATCGTGATGGCGAACTTCGACCCAAGAGGCTCGCGCGAGCAGTTGTCTCTCAAGTTACTGTATACGTTCCCTTGGGCTTTTCTTCTTCCGTCTTCGTTCACCGCGCTGAATCAGTGGTTACGCTGCTCTGCTGCTGACCCGAAGGTCACGAGTTCGATCCCAGACGCCCTTCGGTGGAGGCGTAGTTGACGTCAGCGCACGTTTAAAGAACACCAGATGGTCGAAAACTTCCGCAGTCCTCCACGTCGGCGTCGCTCGTAATCATATCGTGGTTTGAGACGTAAAACCCCAGATATTATCCTTCTTTGGCCGTCCTGTTGAGCACAAGGAATAGGAACACTGACTGTTCATTCAAGCAGCGGCACGCTTTAGACGTTATCTGCGGACATTATTTATTTGTTACCCGAAGGGGCTAAACATCGCGCATTTAAAGAAGGCGCGCGCTTTGAACACGTAAGCGGCCGATGACTAAGCAGGCGAGCAACTCTAGAGATGACGCGGAGAAGAACCGCGTTGCGCAACTAGCGACGGTCTGATGCCGTAGTCGCAACTACATCCGAACGTTTCACACAGACATAAGACATAACAACGAGAGTTGTAATTATCTAGTCATCGCATTAACTGCTAATCGGCAATCGGGCAGCTGCGACGTGCCACAGTGGAGTGGGCCGCGTGCAGACAAGTTTCGCACGGATTCTACTGAGCAACGGCTTGGCTTCCTCGGGACGAACACGCCCATTTTGTATCTCTTCGCCGCACGAGGCAAGACACGGCACGTGCCGGAAAACGTAAGGTGCCGCAACAAAACAAGCGGGCAACATCTGCCCCAATGTCGGAGAGAGTGGGACAGAAGTCAAAGGAAAAAAAAAAAGGCCGGTCAACGCGTTGGAGGCGGCTGCCTCGGCCTTGCTGCCACGACGGATGTTTTTCCTCGAGCACGATCGCGCGCACTCATGGCGCAGTACGAAACTACAATACGCATGGTGTCAGTTTTGCGAGTTCGAGCTATCTGTTGAGCGAAACGGGTTGACCGCGCCACGGGTGCTTGTAAAAGCAGTGTACGTTAGTACTCACGAAGGTGTGTCCCGACAGGAGGGATCTGCTCAATCCCACGCAAAGTCGACGAAAGCAGCAGTTGGCGGTAGCCCACGAACGATGACTGCTGCCGGCGCAGCATCGCCCGGGAAGCGCGGGTCTTACGATTTGGGTCACGTCGGACATTTCATTAAACAATGCGGCCACCTAAAAAAAGAGATCGATTCATTCGCACAAACGGATGGGCGGGGCGGCGTATTCTACTCCCGAGAAAACGCCGGCGCGATCTGGCGCTGTTCCAGTGCTCGCACTGCTTCTTGCTGCCGCTCGAATGGTCTCGAACTATTATATATTTATATACGTCAGTCAGGCAGGCCGCGGTTTTTCCCTGCGCAGGGCGAGCTTCGATGCGATCGATGTGGAGAGAGACCCGGGTCTGTTTACACGACCCTGGAAAACAGGCCCGTTCGACCAGTCCGCGGGTTGTGAGGCTGCCCCAACAAGTGTCAGCACCTTCCTCGAATCACCCGTGCCCAACACGAATGCCGGCACGCCGATCGCAGCCACTTCCACTTGCTGCGACCAGAGCAGCGCGGGCCAGTCGTACGGAGCACGCTATGCGCCAGCGCTGCCCGGCGCCGGAACCCGCTCGGCGATCCGTGACAGCGCTTGCGGCCACTCCGTGGCCCGTAAAGATTTACCACGCGCCAAACGAGCTGCGTTATAGCAGTGTAACGATATCCTACCTGTTGTGAGCGTTGCGAGTGCGGGCGCAGAGTTGCCAAGGAAACACGGTGCGGTGGTCGCTCCGATGGGAATAATCAGGCGAAAGGGCAAACGCCAGCCGCCGTTTGCGGGACCTGATGAGCGTCGCCTTCAGGTGACACCACTCGCAGTCCGCCGCCGTTCGCCGATCCAGCTCGCGCGCACGTCACTGTAAAAACGGCCAGCGCGTGTAATTCAACCACTCGAAGGGAGAAATGCCCACACAGTTCGACATGGCGGTTCTGGGAGGCACGAGCCGAAGCGGGTGTTTTGAGCGAATTTTCGTGGAAATTTGGATACTTCTCTCGGATGCCGGCAGCTGGCAGCACACGTCGCAAAAAAGGAAGAACAAAAAAAAAACGAAACCAAAACGAGGTCGTAAAGGCGTATCCTATTCTGGCTTATGTAATATAAACAAAGAAATCATTTATTACTTTTAAATTCTTAAACTGTCTTGTTGAAAAACTCAGTAACAACATTTCGCGCGCTTTTACGTGGCTTTATAGTGAGCTAGACTATTCATGGCTTCTACACAAAACAATACCGAAACTGAAGTCAGCCACATTGGTAGATGAAGTGAGCCAAGTCAAATCGTTTCTTTATGATAATTTCAACTTTCAATATGGCGCAGTTCACTCGCATTCAGGCGGTTGTTTTTCGTGTGACGATCAGAGCGACTGTTTTACGTAACGCATGAAGACCACTGCCTGTGCGCAGACAGTTTGACGCCATATGTGAGCGCCATGCCTCGATAGTGTCCGTTTTGTTGTTTGCTCGTCGACCGCGCTAGAGACGGGGAAAAGTTGTAGAGATGTCTCTTGTTGCATACGCTGACAGCGATAACTCGGAAGACGATAGCAGTGAGGACGAAGGCTCCGACAATGTGCACGATTCTGCCAGAGAAGCGGACAAGGAACTTAATGAAAAGATTGTCGAGGATGTGCGCGATACCGCGACTGAAGGAGATGAAGATTTTGAACGACTAATGAAAAAGCAGCACTTCAACAAGAACCTGCTGTCGCAAACACCGGGGACCCTGGAAATCACAAAAGTTGTTTTCGAGGTTACCTCCTCCTAAACACAGTGCATCAACGCTGCACGATCCGTCGTTGCAAGACGTAGTCGTGAAACAAGCGAAACAAGTCCTCAAAGTCTAAGCGAGCACAGATTATTATACCCTCCTTAAACGAGGTATTTGCATTGTTTGATTTGATTTAGTGATTTCAACCTACGGGCAGATCAGCTTTACAAACTGAGGAACAGCAGTTTAAAGGCGCGAAAGACACTTGACTTGGGTCCACTTTTACCTTGTTTAGAGTATGCTATGCAATGTTGAAGTGCTTTCGCGGGTATCATGAAAGAACGCTCTGCGACACTTTGCTAGCTTGTGTTATTAACTGAATTGAAACTAACTGTTATTTAGCATCTCCTTCATAACCATGCTTTTGGAGTTCAGTGACGCTCGTGGAGTAAAAAATACGTAAGACCTGTTAGATGCAAAGCTGTGCGAAAAGTTACTGATAGAGTCAGGCACGTTGGCTTAAACAGCGTGTAATGTGTACTTCAAAAGTCGCATATGCTTGCATTTTAGTCACTGCCATTTTTTATGCATCGCCTTTGAAATAGTTCATTTACCTTGACAAGAATTGTTCACATTACTGAAAAAAGACAAAAAATCTAGCTGATTACAACTACTTCAGTCAAAAATGCAATTGATTACAGCTATTAGTTGGCGCCTCATGAAATACACTGGTGAATACTATAATATAATCGATTATGTTTATGTGACTTCCAATTCTATGGAAGATAAGTCACACAAACATAATCATTTGAAAAAGTTGTTTTTGACATCTTGCATCAAACTGAATGGCTCACATTTAATGGAGACTAGCAGTTTGGTGCTGGTATGTATCATACCCGAGACTGTAGTGATCAAAATCCCTCTCCTAACTATTAAGCTACTCAAGCAGGTCTTTAAGAAACGAATTAACTTCCCCGTCATGAATGAGCTACTCGGAAAAACAGAGACAAAGAAGTAGTTTCAGCTACATGGAACCTTGCAGTGCTTTTTTCGTAAGCATGCACGGCCACTTATGTAGCCTAGGGGGAATGCATGTACGCATTCTCTGTATCGCGTCCTTCAATGATGCAACAAGCTTTTACTGATGATGCAAATGCTGGGGCACGGATGGCGACATTTGACAACAATAATCGGGAGCTGTCAAATGAAAAAAGAAAAGTGAAACCATAACAAGATTTTAAATAAGTGCTAATGAAATAGGCCGCGTAACTTGCTCTTGACGTGAACAAGATAGCAGAATGCTCGGGTTTGATCGTAGAAGACTCTTTCGTGAGGCTGCTGCATTCAATGGCTACAGGAGCAGTATTGCATTATGGGACAAAAAAAAAGCAGGAACTGCTAAAAGCTGAATCTCGTATTAACACTTCTCTTGCTAGTTAAGCAAATGGTTTTATCTAATTGATTACATAAAAAAATGAAAAATATAATTGAGTTCGTGTTATAATTTTTAAGCAACATATATATAAAAAACAAAAAGATATGAAAAGATAGATGATACTTGTCATCTATCCATCACCACTGCATGCCTGGTACTTTTCGTCATAAGCAGTGTCGCCCCGCCGCGGTGGTCTAGTGGCTAAGGTACTCGGCTGCTGACCCGCAGGTCGCGGGATCGAATCCCGGCTGCGGCGGCTGTATTTCCGATGGAGGCGGAAATGTTGTAGGCCCGTGTGCTCAGAGTTGGGTGCACGTTAAAGAACCCCAGGTGGTCGAAATTTCCGGAGCCCTCCACTACGGCGTCTCTCATAATCATATGGTGGTTTTGGGACGTTAAACCCCACATATCAATCATCAAATCGTCATAAGCAGTGTGTGTTTGTGAGTCGTGACAGACCTAACATTCTTGACAGGAAAATATCGGGCACACAGCATCAAGAAAGGGAATGCAAGCAGGCTGGATCACGACTACCCCCACTTCATTCACTCACTTGATGCTGCTTCATTCCCACTTCATTCTACTTAATTCAATGCCAATGCACACCACCCAACTTCACTGTTTCATCAGTCTCCATGAAGCATAGCTGGTTCAATTTTCTTAAAAGTTTTACGTAGAGCATACTCCACTCAGAACCAATAAGTTTTAAATAAGGTGACTGCTATGAAGGTTTACGTATTGGCACTTTTTTCATTGTGACATGTGCTATAATTTTTTTTTGATACAGTGTGCACATGGTAGTTAGGAGTGTGCAAAGTACCAAATACAGCAACTTTGTCGCAACCGTCATCTACAGTGCACACTCTTTGCTTTCCTTTTTTTTCTGATTGCATCTTGTTTGAAGAAAGTTTTTATTAGTAATGGTGAAATTATGGCATCGCAGACACAAAGCATTGCTTTGTACTTTTTCCACAGTTCACTCAGTATGTGACTCCTGTTTATTCATAGTTTGACGATGAAGAAGAGGAGGAAGAGGAAAACAAGAAAAAAAAGTTCCGACCTGCTCAGGTAATTCATTATCCGCTGCTGCATGCTTGTTTCGGTGATGTGTGCATGGCAAGAAAAACTTGCATGGAAGTCTTACGAAAGACTGAGCTACGTAATGTTATGATGCGCATTAAAGGGACTCTAAATGTGAAACCATGAAGCAGTTTAGATTGCCAAATTTTACTATGATGCTTTGAATGCCACTAATTTTATCATCATAGGGTTACTCATGGGAGAAAAAAATTTAAATCAGAGTTTAATGTTTTAAATTTCGCACTGAAGTATTTCCACACTATGTCTCAAATTTTAAATTATGTTATATATATATATATATATATATGTGTGTGTGTGTGTGTGTGTGTGTATGAGAGAGCACATAAACATAGCCCTTTTAGCATATCGTGCTGTGCTTGTGCTCTACAGCGTAGTCGCAGCGTGTCAATGAAAATGCGCGACGACGCGCATTTTGGCCGCGCTGCTATAAGTTGCACTGCAACATTCGCTTAGCTCGGTGAAGCCGCAATAAAAATGCGCCATTAAAATAAGCATACTAAATCAAAAACAAAACATTGAAAAGTTCGAAAAACATTTCTGCCTTCAGAACTGGCCCGTTTGCGATATATATATTTTTTACTCGTTTATAATCAGGAACATTTTCCACGCAGTTGTTGCCTATATAGGGTAACTTCATATATAGGGTAAAACTATGTAGGATCTAGTAAATGCTGTCTAAATTTATGACGTCATGGCATATGGTGCGGGAATATTGAGGTGGTGTCAGCACCCACATATCTTCTTGAGTGTTTTCTCGCTTGCCAAGCATCTTCTCATGAAAAGTGGGGATCTTGAGATTGTGAAAGGGTATGTGATAAAGGTCGTTTATCTCTTTAGTGTCCCTTCAACACTTTGAATGAGTCTATCTTTTCTTCTATTTCTTTACAGACTGGTTCTGGTCTTATAGGCATGTTGCCAGCACCAAAGCACGGCTCTCTAACAACAAAGCAGCTGACGCCACAGGTGGTGGCACGGCCGCCACCTCCTCGAAAACCAGTTTCAAAACAGCCGGTGCCAAAGGCTCGGGCAGCATCCGCACCACAGCCGGCTACGTCATACCCATGGGAGCAAGACGATAACGATGACCCAGATTCCACAGAAGATTCACCGAACTTTTTCACGTTCAGTGAGCCACCGTTGCCTAAAGTGAACATTGACGCTGAGCTTCACGATGCAGTCAGCGTATCGTCTGCTGCACCTGCTGCATCACTCGCGAGTTCTTCGTATGACGAGCCTGAGTCAGAGCCACAGCCGAGTGTCAATGTTGAGCCTGGCCCTGACGTGCAACAACCTGCGGCATGTCGCAAGGAAAGATAGTCTATGCGGAACCCGAAGAACCAGGGACGTCTGTGTATGATGTTGAGCTTGACGATGGAGCTGTGAGTTTAAACCATTACCTTGTTTCTTTGATGAGCTGATATCTATGTGGTACCAACGCATGTGAATACAAATCAGCACTCTGCACTTTCCATGGTGGCTCGTTGCCTACGATGTTCTATTGCGGAGCTTGAGCTTGCATTCCCAATGAATTTCCAAGGTCTGCAATGTGCAAATAGTGAATTTTAGGTTCAAAGCAAATTGTGATCTTGGTCGAATAATTTCGTATCGAATTCGAATACTGTATATATGCCACGTTATAAAGAAAAAGCATATTAGTTATGACCGAACTAACCTGCATATCTTTTTTTTAAATTGAAAGAAGTGAGCACTATTTCGAATAGCAGCACGATTTGACTTTCGATAGAACGCCAGTGATACCCTGTAAATTATCTAAATTTTTAAGATTTACATTACTAAGGATATATAAGTTGGTATCACACGCTTTTAAAATAGAAAAAAAATGAATCGGTGTGAGGGCAATATCTTCATTGAATCTTGAAGAGAGGCTCGGCGGCAGTGCAGATTTATCCTAGATATGTGTTTTCCCTATTCAGCGCCACTTTACTGCAGGGAAACAAACTACGTGCAAATTATACGTTCATATAGGTACTTTCACGGCTTAAAACTCCTTCACTGAAGTGAAACAACTTTTACAAAAAGTTATGCGCAAATTATTATACATTGATTAGGTGCTTTCACGGCCCAGCATTCTTTCACTGCAGTGAAACCACTTTTATGGAAGGCTTTGTGCAATGTATTATACGCTAAATAAGTGCTTTCACGGCTCAGCACTTCCTTTACCGCAGTGAAACCACTTTTACAAGGTGTAGCATGCGGATTAATGTGCATCTGTTCATTTGTCTTGAGTAATTCGAAATTTTCAATAATTCAAGTTTGATTTGAAGGGAATTCAAATGCTGCGTTACTCATTCGAATAGTCGAAGCATTCAAACATTCGCACGAGCTTATCAAATACGCTTAGGTAAAATGTGTCAGAAAGACTTTTCATGAAAATGAACAGGCAATCAAAAGAAAAGTATAGGGGATGTTATTCATAGCTCTTTTGAATTTTAGTAATTATGATCAAGATGTAATAAGTAAAGTGATGAAAAAATGACTTGCCACCCCTAGGGACTGAACGCGCAACCATTCAGATAGCACATTCGACACTCTACTAATTTAGCTGACAGTGGCAGTCGACCTCTCATCGGCATCTACTTGATCGGGTATTTCTGTGATTGTGAACCAGCTTGTTAACCAGTGTCACTCGTAGCTATAGGGACCGAGCGTGGAACACGGTTTTTCTGCCTACTCGCATTATGTGACAGGTGATGTTTTTGAAATAGCGGACTAGTAAACCATCACGTAACTACAAGGCACAAGTCTGCCAGAATTAATGAACAAAAGAATGGCGATTTCTTAATTGCTCTTTTTTTGTTTGTTTTGTTAGACACAACCTTAATGGAAAGCCAATAGACTCTATAAGGAACTTCAGGTGGTAAAAATTACTCCACAAGATCTTCCACTGCAGCATGTCTTATAATCGGGCATGTAGCTTTGAAAAATTCAACTGCGTAACATAACTGGTCCTCCACATTCTGTATAGTGGAAATATGCGTGACCTTCAGAAAGGGTCCATTAAAGCAGGTTGGCTGATAACGATTTTGTCTTTAAATGCTTCCACACACGAAGATGGTAACTTTCACGCTGTGCTTCTATGCAGTCTGGCATATCTTATGTACTCAGAGAGACATTTAAATTGTTCGGGACATTGTCTGCGTGCATAGTGATTTTCTTTCAATGTCTACTTTACTGGATACTCTGTTAAAGTTTACATGAGAACAATGTCAACTTGAAAACCCCTAAGAGCTGAATATTTACGTACATCAGGCTCATGCTTGAGGATTTAAAAATGGCATTTCGCATGCAGTGTTCATGTGTACGAATTTGAGAGAAGGCAACATGCAGCCTGTGAATGTGCATCATGCACAAATATTGTGTTGCTTCATACCAGTATATACTGCGTCTATACTGCCATATATGTATTGTTGAAAAACAGGTCACTGACCAATGCGAAACGAAACAAAATGATGTTTTGGGATCCATAAGGATCACTTATTTTTAAATCACAAGATTTGTGAACTAGATTAGATCTGGAAATGTCGTTTTACTTTGTTTTGACATTGGTCAGTGACCTGCTTTTTAACAATGCCTTTATCTCACCCAGACAATATTTCGTTAACTCTCGACTAATATGACATATACATATGCGCTGGTAAAAAAGGCTGTGGGGAAGGCTGTGTTAAAGCAGTGACTATTGTTTTAATTGTTGCAGCATTCATGTTCACTAAAAGGCCAATAAATTATGCAGAATATGAACTAAGAGCCTTGTGCTTAATGGAACAGCACCAGTGAGAGTTTGAGGGCCATGACTGACGTTCTTGCCTTGCTGCAGTTGGTGAGACTTCGTGGCAAGCGCCAAGAGGAGATCAACATCATCGACGTGTGCGCGGACAACCAGATCGACAAGACTCAGATACTCATTCGGGGTCTCACTGAACAGCCTACGTACTCGAGCCCGAGCAACACGAGCGACTTCAACACAAGCCAGCAGCATCGTCGCAAGCACCAGATCACCTACTTGGCACAGCAAGTGAGTGCTTATACTTTGTGAAGCTGTTGTTGATTCGAATCTGTGATGTAGTGTGACTGCCAAGCCCGAGAAAAAAAAAAAAAACATTTAGTGAACACTCTAGCCAAGCAATTACTGTGTGCAGGACCAGTTCCCATTACTACCATATCAATATGCACGCATACCCTCGTGCATAAAAGAAGTTGGTAGCTGGCACCTAATTAGGGTGTTAGATGGTGCCCCCAGGTTAATTTTGTTCAGACGCATACTTCACAGTGCAAGGGCAGCACAAAGCATGTCTTTTTTTTTTGCTGGCAAAAGGGCATGCATAATGAGCGAGTTCCTTCACAGGGGCGAGAAACTAATGCATCGTGTTGTTTTATGCTCTCAGTGTGGCAAAGGGGGCAGGCGGTAACTCCGGGGAAAGGGGGTCACAGTTTCTCTTTCCCCTGCTTAGTACCATCCCTGTCATAATGGCAGCATTTGTATTTGTTTTTATACTGCATATTTGAGTCTTGTTTCAAGGGGAGATGCAAAATTCTAAAAAAAAAAAGATTCGTGAATCTGTAGGTTATGGCAATGAAATTCTTTGATGTATATATGGACTTTTATACTGATTTCTAATTTGCAATCAGTTTTGTAGCAAGTTTCACAGTTTTCGTTTTGTGCCATGACAGTGTGTAAGATCTAATGCGTTTTGGACAAACTTTTCATGCCATTAAACTTTTATGGTTCAGAGTCATTAATGGCTCATATTGCTCCTCATTAACTGAATGCAAATAATCATTAAGAAAGTGCATATAAGACATTTTAATGGACAAGGAAAATTGTAATGTGAGAATTCCTAAAATTCTCAGCCCATACTAATTGCTTTGCAATAATTACACAGGCAATATCAAGTTTTGAAGGAGATACTTGCACTTTTCACATGTTAAGGAATATAAGGGCGAAATTTCATCCTGATCCGGCTATCAGAAGTACCTAAACATGATGTATAATCTCAAGAAGTTGCCAAAAAAATGCATATTAAACATATAGTAAGTCAAACCATATCTATGGGGCAAAGGTATGTTCTTTTTAAAGCGATTTCTTACATCATGAGAGTAATTATTATTTTGAGCATGTGGCTTTAGTGAACTTCCCACGCGAAATGGAATGGCAAGCAGCTAGGCGACAGTTTCCAGGGGACTCTAGACAATGAGCTCTTTTTAGTTTGCGGTTGCCACCTTGTGCTCTTAAAAGTGATATTTTTCTACTTTGCATTTATTTAAAGTTTTCAGTTTTTTTTTGTTGTTGAAACTTAGTGATCCCTTTACTTCCGAGGCATTAAAATGAAGGCACAATTGTAAACAGAATTGGTGTTTCAGTAATGCATATAACCATTTCAATGCTTTTTAGTGTCGCATATCACTATAGATGTTTCACAAAGCACCCCTTTTTTTCTTTTTCTTAGGCCAAGGCACGAGAACAGGAGTTGAAAAACACCTGGGCACAAAACCGTATGACTAAGCGCCAGACTCAAGCAAAGTATGGTTTTTAATGTCGTGCACCTGGTGCTTCAATAAAAGCTGCGTTGCATTTTTTTTTTCATCCTTGTTTGCCAATTGTTTACTTTCTTTGTTTTCTCCCATTTCGAAGATTTCATCTGGGACGTTCTGTGACAACACTAAGTGTCTTGTGCGATGTCACCATGCACTGAAGTGTTCAGAAAGGTGCTTGATGCATAAACAGGCCAGTGGCAGCGTTTCGTCTCGAATGGTGAACCAAATGTGCATATGATTTCAGGGCGAAGAAAGAAGACCACCAGACAGCTTCCATTAACAAAATTGTGGATGTTTTACATAGTAAATCTTAGGTTCGAGGCGAATTTGAAGCGAAGAGAGATTAGGTCAAGTAATTTCAAACCGAATATGCATCCCATATGTCACATAATATAAAAAAAATTAGTATATTTGTCACGACCCAACTAACCTGCACAATAGTTTTATTTAAAAGTGGAACAGTGCAAATGCAAATTTCATATTGCTTTGAAGCGATGTGAAAGCCACTTTGAATAGAAGAATCCAAATTTGAGTAAGACGGAAGTGACGCCTAATAAAATACATTAAGTTCTAAAATTTATAATACTTAGAGCATATAAGCTTGTATAACACATTTTAAACTTAAAGGGATAAATCTTTGTAAGAGTGATAGGTTCATCTAACCTTGACGTGGAGCATTGCCACATTGCAATCTTTTTTTTATTTAATGTTTTCCTCGGCATAGCACTCCTGCGCCGCAGTGAAACCACCTTTGCAGGTGCTCCTATTTGTTTATTTCGGAATACATCGAAATTTCAAATAATTTAAAGTTTTTGTGTCGATACGAATTTGAATACTGTATTATTCGCACATGCCTAGACAAAATGCATTGCACACAAAAACAGATCCACCTTGAAGAGCCCCCGAACCACACAGAGGTCGAAATTTCGTTGTGGTGCAGCAGTAGTGCACGAGTCTTCAACAAGCACGTAACCGCGAGCATTTTTAGAAATGGTGCCGTAATAGCAGGGTTACACGCGTTTCACGATCCAAAATAAGCCCGCGCTGGTTTCACTCTTATTATCACCGTGCTCCGTTCGTTGGCTCCGTCTCGTCGTGTGCGTAGAAGGCGAGTAGCGAGTGCGGGTACGTGAAAGCAAACACGCTTTGTGTTCCCGACACGACTAAACACGAGTGGCGATGTCACAGTTAACAGTGGAGATACTGAAAGGCCCGGAGAGGGAAAAGCATATTTTTTTAATTCGTGATACTTTTGGCATGGTAGATCACGACGACATTCCGAATTCGATGCGCATGTTTACTACAAATGTCAAGTTAATAGAGATGGTTTAGGGGCCCCTGCAACTTCGTTCAGGCTAGCCATGATCCGGGCTGACAAGCTCTATATTTCAGCGTTTGTGCCGATCCAACATCGGAGCTTAAGTTTGGCTCCCACCCATCTTGCACCAGTGCACAGTTAACGGCATTGCTCGCAGCCATAGGTCGGCAGAACTTGTCGAGTTCACTCAGACTCGCTCGTGAAGTATATTTTGAGCTTGGGGCCCACTCACACTCACGAAAACTTTCTTCAACCAGACTCACTCGGACTCATGATCGCCTAAGCATTACTCACAGAGACTCGCTCAGACTCGAGGCTTGATCCAAGTCTCGAGTGTGTCCTGAGCAAGTTGAACGACGAGTCTGTTGGTCTAGAATTAGTAATCGGTGCTTTTCTTGGAGCCTTTTGATATGTTACCCTCGAATGCAAGCTACAAGTGCTCGCAAATCAGTAAGGTCATTTTTCTTGAAACGGATGACAGCATAATATTTTTTTATCAAGGAAGCCACTGGAAGAGTTGGCAGGGTGCGGTCAAGGCACCTTGCTATTTTATTCGCACCTCTTATAAATGAATAATGAAATGGTGAGTGAATGACACTGCTTTGGAATGCGTGTCAATAGACGTGAGTGTAAACAAGAATCCAAGTAAGGCTGATAGCAATGCTGAATACGAGTAAATAGGTCGGTAAAAAGAAGTGGAAAAACAAGTGAAACTCACTGAGATTTGCTCGAGAAATATACCTTGCCATTTGGACTTGCTCAGACTCACCAAAATTTTCAAGAGGCCAGCTCACTGGAACTAACATGAAAATTTTCTTTCACCGGACTCACTCAGACTCAACCTTTTCGAAACATTACTCATCCGGGCTCACTCAGACTCTGACTAACGGCTCGATCCGAGTCCGAGTGAGTCGACTCACGAGTCAGTTCGCCGACCTACGCTTACAGCCGTATTAAGTTATGTATAGGAATGCAAAGTCATTCATGAAGGCTCACTACGAGAGACTGACCACATGATACCATCAAGTGGTTCCCATCTTTCTGTTGGGCTTACTTGCTTAGAGGCGGAGGCACTTCAGAGATTTCGTGTTGTGGTGGCGCTTACACCACCAGGGACTGCCCACTGGCCGCATCACTACCGTGCATTGTATAGAACCACATGCCCCCCTTTATGACACTCCTGTAACTGAAGTGGACATGGCACTTCCTGTGGTCGTGCTCAAGCCTAGAAGAGCAAGCTTGCCTTCACCCTAAAGCAACTGGCCACCGTCCCAGTCGCCCCACGGATTTGTAAGAGTAAACCATTCCACCTATCTTTGTTAGGCTTTATGCACGAGTTAACTTGTTTGATGTGATGCGCCTTTTGTGATAAATAAATATGTTATGCCTTTGTTCTCATTAATATTGTCTAACAAAAAAAAACTAGCTCTTAAATTTACATTTGATGCTTATGGGCAAAAAAAAAGTGTACCGTTTCGTATTTCAACATCAGTTTTCTTTATCAAAGTCACAGTTTTTTTTTAACCATTTTGTGTCGCTTTCTGGACGATTTTTTTGTGCCATGCAATGTTTTTTTTTTTTTTCAGTTGCAATACAGAATTAAAATAAACAGCACACATGTGGATGGCAGGTACCAGCAAAAAATGAAATGTAGGAGATTATATATGCAGCAGGCATACTGCGTGTACTTTAAAGTTTCAGATAACTGTAAGGTGACCAGCCTTCCTGCCTGATACTGTACAGTATGTACTTGTGATGGCAATTGGCAGCATTCAATACAATATGGCCAGACCTTTTGTCTTCATAAAACTAGTCCAAAACACTAATGTAAATAAGTCGTTACACAGGTTTCATGTGTTTTCTTCACAACAGTAGCAGCGGACTTGCAGTACACAACTTTGGCCTTCTAAGCTAGTTATTGACAAGAACAAGACTTGTTCTAGTGCTAGTGTTCTAGTACTAGTGGATACAGAACATTCATTTGTCACAATAAATCAGTTCTCTTGCTTGTGTTGTGCTGCACACAGCCAGAGACATACATAGATTTGCCACAAATCGGGCTGAGCTTGGGCAGCCAATTGGAAGTTCACTGGCCCGGGCTGGTCCTCTTGGTAGTGCTCGGCCTGGCCCTAGCACCATGAAACCACGGCCCATGCACATCTTGCTATATTTAGCTTCGAATTAACGCCAGGTATGCCACAGAATACCAGCAAAGAACCCATCGATCAGTGTAGCAACTAATCTGGCGGATTCAGCTGTTCATGGTAAAAATGATACAGCATTCAGGAGGCATCGAACACATTTAGACCATGGTTAGAAAGTACCACAGATCAGTAGTCGGTGCTCTGGTTAACATACAACTAAAACGTAACAGATAGTGTATCTGGCAGAGGAATTTACAACTACGTTTTGAAGTTGGCTAGAATTTGCTCACTCTTTTCATGCCAAATTGTGCTGTAGGCTGGCCATACTATATCGCAAATGGAATGACACAGGCATTGGCTAATTTGAGCATTCATGTGCTGCATAGTTACTGCAGCCACCATGGGGCGCCACTAGGTACCGATGCCACGCTCAATAGCGCTAGAATTACACGCCATGGAAGTACACTTGTGTGCTTATCATTAAGCTGAAAGTAAGCCAATGCACTTAAAAAAAAAAACAAAGAACTTGGTGCTCAAGCTTATCAAACATGCTGGCGCAGCTTTTTCGCCCTTTGTCATACTACCCTGTGTAGCTTTCAGCACACTCAGGACGAACGGGAGGAGGAAGCACTTGAAGCGTGCCACGAATCCCTGCAACTCCACTTCTACTCTATGGATTCGAAAAATTTTTGAAGCACTCGATTTATGAGCGAACTATTGCAAAGATCATCGGCACGAGACGTCAAAGTGATTCCTTTCTCTTACGGTACACATAATAGAGTTACGAAGCCTTGGAAATAATTGGCCGTTTTCAAGACGACGGCCCTATGTGGTGCATGCTTATGACACACTACTATCCTCGTTAAACCCGGGTTAGGAATTTCAGGAGCTTGCTCCTTTTGCTCGCGGATTGTCGAACGGCAGCTGCCAGCATTGACATCAGTGTTGCCAGTGTGTACACTTTTGCGGCCGCCGCTTAAGGTCACCTCTTCGGTGATTCCAACAACGCTCACTAGATGGCGTGCCGCCACCCAAGGCGTCTCAACGACCACCCAAGGCGGTTTCAACGAGACAGAATTCACTTCGATGGGCGGCTAGGTCATGAGGTGGGTTGGCGACTTGCAGGACGCGCAGTAGCTTTTTTGGGGGGCAAGCGAGCCCTTCGGGGTGCAGGATAGCTAGTAACGAGGAAAACAACCAGGGAGACTCTTCGACAGGTGGTATGGACAGATACGATTCCAAAGTGGCACCAATATCTAAGATAGGTAGAGTCCGGGGCATAAATAGACGTAGCCACGAGCGCCGAGCCAATTCAGACATAGGGTATATTAACATGCAGGGTGGTAGGAACAGGCTGAAGTGGGAAGAGATAGAAGAACAGCTAAGGGAAGAGAGGCCGATAGTATACGGTTTTGTAGAAACACATCTCAGGGACATGGAACAACCTCCGAACAATCCGGACTACGCGTGGGAGTATTGTAATAGAACAGAAGGCAGCAGAAAGGGGGGTGGTATTGGGGCATTCATTCATAAAAGTACAGACTGGCAAAGGGTCAAGCAGGAGTGCAAGGAACATTTATGGCTAAAAGGGAAAGTGGCAGGTCAAATGACACTCCTTGGTTTCGTGTACTTGTGGACGGGAGCAAAGGCCAGAGAGGAAAACCAGGAAATGGTAGAGTGTATATCAAAGGACATTCAGGAGTTAGGAAGAGAGGGCGAGATAATTATACTAAGAGACATGAATGCGCACATAGAAGATATAGATGGGTATACCGACCCGACAGGCAAAATGATCATGGATATGTGTGAAAGGCTTGATTTGATCATTTGCAACAGTACCGAGAAGTGTGAAGGGCAAATAACATGGGAGGTAGGAAGGCTTCAGTCGACGATAGATTATGCACTGATGTCACATAGGATGTATGATAAGCTCAGGGAAATGCACATAGATGAATGTGGCTCCAGAAGTCTGGGTAGCGATCACAACGTATCAAGCTAAGTTTTGGAAGAGCAGTGAAAGTGGGAAGGAGACAAGATGAGCAACTACAGGAAAATTTTATCCAGAAAGGCAAATTGAAATAGCCACTAAACAAATTGAGAAAGTATCACGGAGGATAATAAGACAGTGTGGACATACACGAATCTAATTAGACTCTTTGAGCTAGAGCTTGCTAAGACGCGTGACAAGTCACCCCGGAAAAGAAGACACAAACCCAAAAGTTGGTGGGATGAGGAAGTTAAGAGAGCCATAGCAAAACGTCAGGAAGCCTCTAGGGAACACAGACATGCTAAGCAGCGGGGTGAACCGACAGATGATGTGGAAAGAAAATGGGCAACCTTTCTAAGCTGTAGAAGGGATGCATCCCTTCTGATCAATGAAAAGATTAGAAGGAAGGGAGCTCAGTGGCTGGCAGAAGTACATAAAAAAGATAGAAAGGCAGCTGCGAAATTTCGGAACCATCTAAACTCCCTAAGAAATGAGACGAGCCTAGAGCAGAACTTTATAACTACAGCCCAAGGTGCTAGGCTAGAAGGGGACGAAGCTATTGAATATATAAGAACAAGGGTGACAGAAAAATTTCAACAAAGAAGTACTTTATGCACCACAATAGACAAAGACGAATCAAGTGGTGCAATGGCTCCATTTTCACAACAAGAGTGGGAAAGGGCTGAGAAAAGGGTTCCTAGTAGTACATCAACAGGCCCAGATGGCATTCCAATTAGGCTGATAAAAACATTAGGTCCGAAGTCTAAGCAGGCTTTGAGAGAGGCAGTGAGTACAATAATAATCGATGATGAAGTTCCCGATGGATGGAAACTTAGCAGGATGAGCATGATCTATAAAGGGGGACAAAGCTGACATAAACAACTACCGTCCTATAACAGTGACATCAGTGGTCTACAGGCTGGCGATGCAGATTATAAAGGAAAGACTGCAGGCGTGTATAGAGGATGAGGGGGTGCTGGGGGAACTGCAGAATGGGTTTCGGAAACGCAGGAGGTTGGAAGACAATCTGTTCTCACTGACGCAGTGCATCGAAATAGCAGAAAAAGAACACAGGCCCCTGTGGCTAGCATTTTTGGATATCAAGGGAGCGTACGATAGCGTGGTTCAAGAGGAATTGTGGGGAGTACTGGACACACTAGGCGTGGAACATGTAGTCACTAATCTTTAAAGGGTGTCTATAAAGGTAACAAGGTAGTTATAAAGTGGGAAAAACAGGTATCCAAGCCTGCAGAGGTAAAACGGGGGCTTAGGCAGGGGTGCCCCCTGTCACCCTTATTATTCATGATGTACCTACAAGGATTAGAGGCAAAATTAGAGGGAAGTGGACTGGGCTTCAACCTCTCTTTAGTCAAACAAGGAAAACTTATTGATCAGGCACTACCAGCATTAATGTACGCAGATGATATAGTGCTAATGGCCAACAACAAAGAAGATTTGCAGAGATTGATGGACATCTGCGGTAATGAGGGAGATAGGTTAGATTTTAGATTCAGTAGGGAAAAATCAGCAGTCATGATTTTCAATGACAATGAAGGTAGTGAGCTTAGAATACAGGAGGTCACGCTAGAGATAACAGATAAATACAAATATCTGGGCGTATGGATAAGCAATGGGACCGAGTATCTGAGGGAACACGAAATATACGTGACGACTAAAGGTAACAGGAATGCAGCAGTCATGAAAAATAGGGCACTGTGGAATTACAATAGGTATGATGTTGTGAGAGGAATATGGAAAGGGGTCATGGTTCCTGGGCTGACGTTCAGCAATGCGGTCTTGTGCATGAGATCAGAAGTTCAAGCAAGATTAGAATTAAGCAACGTGGAATAGGTAGGCTTGCTTTAGGAGCTCACGGGAATACACCAAATCAGGGAGTACAAGGTGATATGGGATGGACATCATTTGAGGGCAGGGAAGCTAGCAGCAAGATAAAATTTGAGAAGCGATTGAGAGAAATGGGGGAAGAGCGTTGGGCTAGGAAGGTTTTCAGCTACTTGTACATGAAGAATGTCGATACAAAATGGAGGAAGCGAACCAGGAAGTTGACTGGTAAATACTTAGAAAACAGCAGGTGGCCAAACCAAAAATAACTGTCGGTTAAGAAAAAAGTGAAGGAAACGGAGACTGACATGTGGAGAATGGGCATGATTAAGAAGTCCGCACTAGAGATCTATCGAACTTTCAAGCAGGAAATTGCCAAAGAAAGGATCTATGATAATACTCGGGGTAGTTCTCTACTGTTTGAGGCCAGGACAGGAGTACTGCGAACCAAGACATACCGGGCCAAATACGAAGGGGTCGACACAGTATGCAGAGCGTGTGGAGAGGAAGAAGAAACTGCCGAACACTTGATAATGTTCTGTAAAGGGCTTCACCCTATAGCTCCGGATGATGGCGCAGAGTTTTTCAAAGCACTGGGATTTAGGGACAGCGAGGGCAAAATAGACTTTAAGCGGGTAGACTTAACTAGAAGGAGGTTATCTGATTGGTGGCTAAGGTCAAGGCACGAGTGAAAATTAAACCCTTCACTGCGAAGTACGAATCCTCAACTTCAAAAAAAAAAAAGATAAATGCAATGGTTAGTTCACTAAGTATTACGGCTAGGTGGCGTAAGCCGCCACCCGATCTAAAGGGTACAGCCACATCCATCCATCCATCCATCCATCCGTCTGTTTCGGTTGGCCCGCACGCTTGCCTCCTCGAAGTGACTTAGAAAGAAAGAGAAGTGAAGAGAAAAGTGTGGCGTCGTTTCTCTCTCTCTGGAGGTCACCTCAACAACGCCACGCGGGGGATGGGTAGTGGGGAAAGAGAGGAATATGAGAGAGAGGAAAAGAGGAGGGTGTCAATGGTGTTCGGTCTGGCCATGTGCGAATGCGCACCGCCTCCGAGCCAGGAGGAGAAAAAAAAAAAAAAACATCAGGCAGGCAGGCAGGGCGAGGAGATCCTCGCGACTACGTCCACTTCGTTCTCGTCATGCACAACAGCACGTGACAAGTACCTACGATGAAGGTTACACACGGGTACCGATATCTTTTCAAGCACCCTTACCTGCCTGCTCTCAATCCCGTTGAAGAACGCCTGATAGCTCCACTTCTGCCATTTACGAGTGTTTGGCATTTGACTCACAGCAGCGGCCAATCTAGCATAAAAGCAGCAGGTGATTAACGTGCCGCTCGACGTGGTCAACACTGTGCAGTGCCAGCTGCAAAATGTGCCAACAGCGCTGCCTTCGACGTATACATCATGCGCCGGCTTGTTAACAAGCCTTACTCCAGAAATGGTCTTGCTAAGAAACATCCAGTGCATTTCCGAGCAAGCTCCTCTAACACCATTCACTTTGCAGATATGGCGGCAATTTTTTTTTCTCCACATTTATCATGAAACAGATTATTTAGATAAATGACGTTATCGTGGTAAAAAAATGAATTGATGTACGACACTTCTTATGCATTTTTGTGCAATATACTGCACACTAGGACTATGAAAAAAAACTCGTGTGTTCAAAAATTGCAAGAAACCAACAAGAAAATGTTTACTAGCAGCATACAAAGAGTTTCAGCTCTTCACGAAACTGTTTGATGCAGTTTCATACGATGTATGAAACAGTTTTGTGAAGCAGTAATACCCGCTCGCGACTCCATACCAGGAGCACTCAGAGTCCCAATGTGTCATACAATGTACATAAAACACTTCACCGAAGACGTAAAGAAGTTATGCACTTGCCTCCAGAGCAACTGTGCACAAAATGATCCATGCACATTCCAGAATCGTTCTATTATGAAACCGCTGTGCTGTGCAAGCACAGCGGTAAATAAATAAGGGCAACTTAATCGGCCGGGTTGAGCCTAATGTGCTAGATTGTATGAACGGCATTTTCAAACGTGCCCACCAGACTAGTCGTTAGGTTGATTTCTATCATTCTCGGCCAGATGAGAGCACACTGCTTTGAAATACACACGGGCATTGCAAATGCAGAAGTTGCAGTATGGTGCTGCTGCTAAGAATGAGTATGCAACATATTGTACGCTGGGTCTCACAATGCTATAGCGTACCAAAGTTTATGAAACCGACTCCCCTACTTAGAAAAAAGACCACAAATGGGCACAAGTGACATCAAAACACATTTTAATAGCTGTGCATGTAATACAAACCCGCATATATATATATATTTATATATATTATGTACAAAAAAGCATCGCACTCTCATGCACAAGCAAGACAACAGGAAGAGATGCCATGGCAGGAGAACCGTTAGGCAGGCAGGCAGCCGACGCTGGCACATACGCGACAGCCCTCTTAGAAAGCGGTAACAAGGAGAGCATTCACCAATGTCCTGTTCAACAGTTCCACCAACGCACCGCTGCTCAAAACCCTAACAGAACAACACTACGCGTCAGCCGCAGCACGGTAAGCACTTCGAAGCAGCGGTTTTCAGCTCGCTCAAATTACAAAATTACGTTAAACTCTGCAGACCACGAAAGATGTATACTATATAAAAAGGACTCCCATATCCCCCTTGCATTTTCGTGCATTGCGATTTGCACAGACTTCCAACTTGCTTTTGTAAAGGAGACATCTCACGAGTATGCAACAAACTCAAGAGTCAACTTCTCGAGGTAAAAAACGAAGGCCACCTAACTACTGAAACACAGACAAAACAGAACAGTTCGCGTGAACATGTACTCATTTTGCTCGTTTTTGCAATGCAAGCAGCAGCTTGAAGAATGAAACACATACGTGCACTGTTTATGCAATAAGGCTAAAAAGAAAAAAAAAAGACCACGCGAGAACCTAGAGGTGGCTGCTTTAAAGGCCAGTACTTTGCTAAAAAAAAAAAAAACTATGATAAAATGTGTAAACCACTTTGATTTGTTTTGAGTACATTACTTAAAATCATGCTAGAGATGAAATAGTGGTGACTAGATGCTGCAGTTTTTAAAAATGGGTCGTGAAAATTGAGAAACCGCGAAAGGAACGGTGCATCTGTGCCAGCACACACCCGGTATAAAGAGGAGTAAACGACATGACAAAAATAACACAGACTTGGTGTAGATGTAAAGAAGTTAAGGCGAGGCATTACGTAACTTATCCTCATATTTTTTTTTTTTTTTCATTGCACCACAGACCGGCTGCAAGTGTACTGCCGTAGCACCAATAACCTCCTTAAAATGTTTGCATGTGTAAAAAAAAAAAGTGCAATAATAATGAACGGGGTCCACTGCCTCTACAAGACAATCTTAGTGGCAATGCCTGTGGCTCTTGTGGCCACACTTAAAAAACTGGCTTGGAATACTTCTGGTAGACAGCCCAACTGACAGAACGCTGCGAAGAGCCAAAAGTGATGTCCCATAGTCACACTCAAACCTACTGGCTCCCTTGACGGTTGCCTCGCGCAACTCTGCATCCAACGTTGCACTCTTTTGCAGCCATTCACTTCCACGAAAATCAGCTCCACCCAAGAATATGCTGCATGTTTCAGCAAAAGTCAAGGAGCGATGCGACTCTCTATTTGACCTGACTGTTGATTAGAATGAAGTGCAAAGATCACAAAGATGAACAACACGTGTGCCGATGGGTATGTTGGCACCATTAAAAAACCGAGCACAAGCCCCATTTTTTCCTCCCCAATTGCGCAATATTGTCTCAGTCTTATGCCTGAACATTGCTCGGTGGAATACGAAAGCCTTTCACCACTAATGCTCTCTTTCATTCGCATTTACTAATGAGAAACGGCAGTGTTATTCGACTGTAAAAAAATTACCGTGTTTTTGAAATGCTTGCTCTCGCTTGCAGTACAATAAACGCTGACCTTATGAATCTCACGGGAGAAGGGGAAAGAAAAGAAGGAAGGAAACAACAATGCAGTGACAACTAAATTTAAGGGACCTAGCACTTTGCGCGACTTGGAACAAGTGCAAACTTTGAAGTGGGTCGTTGTGAACTTCCAGAGGGGTGGTTCCTCCATACTCTCCCTCCTCCCCAACTCCACCTCCCCAACGTTTGAAGTTGTATTTTTCAACGTAATACAACCGAAAAAATGTAACGACCTGAATTTAACTGCAATGTACAACCGCGGATCAAAAAATAGAACGAAAAAGCTATAAATGCTTTTTTTTTTTGCATCTCAGGCTCTGGCTCTCGCAGTGCTTTTTTGTATAAAGTGGAGTCATAGCTTTTGCCACTATGAATTGAAACCCTGCTTTTTTTTTGTTTTAAGATACATGTTTTTGACTTTCTCACAGTACCAAAGCCTAGCATATCCACACATTAATATCTGCACTAACATTACCGTGGGCACTCATAAATGCAGCTGGTTACTCCGACACACCTTACAACACCCACTACACCAATTCGAGTGCTTAAACTTTTTTTTTAAGGGCGTGGCTGACACCTCGCTACAACCCGATCGCTTCAGAAGTTACGCATTTTTTTTTCATTCCTTCTTAAAATTTTTGGCTCCCTTTGGCCTTTCTGTTTTCCTGTAAACATCTGCATCAGTTGTGTGTTTTCTACATTTTCTCGGGTCTGCAGTTGTACGACACTTCTGTGTCCTATCACTTATTTCACTGTAAGTCTTTTTTGTCTGTCACCCTCGTTGTCTCGGATTGGTGAAGGACTGCTTTGGTCACCTGCACTCCTTTTAAAAAGAAACCTTGCTTTGCACCAAAGTGAAGATGCAGGCTCTAGCCGGACGTGCGAAAGGGCAGTCTCAAAACATGATCTCCTTGGACTCTGTCTGGTCCTTGACATACTGCGTGAACCGCTTGAGGAACTTGGGGTACTCCCGCTTGTAAACAGCACGTAGAACTGATGCGGGTGCCCAGCCACCAGGATTGACTGTGTAGAAAGGCATGAGAGAGTACACAAACTTAATGACTGCTGAAATGCTGTTGGTGTAAAGAACTGCACTTTCACCAACTATTGTGAGAGTTTCAGAGCTTACCACTTTATTAGGATTCAAATATATTGAATCTGATCAAGATCACGCAAAAGTTCTATACAAAGGCAATACAGTTGAATCTCGTTCATACAAATTTGTAGAGAGAACCAAATATTCGTATCATCCCGAATTCATACAAACCAAAACATGTTAAAACTTATATTGGGATCAACTACCTCTTGCTGGAAAAAAAAAAAGAAGAAGTCCATGATGATGTTTTGAACTTTTCTGCTTCCCCTGCCTTTCAAGAAAGCCACCTGAAAGGAACAAAACTGGGCAATTGTTTTCTCACTCATGCTTCTGGCACTTAAGATGCGTTCATATTTTCAAAGGGAGTGAAAGCGGCAAAATTCGCAGTAAATTCACTCACTAGGCCGCGTAAGTGGCCGGAAAACCGCGCCGTGAAGACAGCATGTAAAAATCGGTCCTGGAGAATTCACACTTAAGAAGTGAAGCGAAAATGAAAATACCAGAGCAACCAGCAAACCATGTCGCACGCTTTGAAATGCTCACATTCATTCTGCCCATCGTACATGCCCCCTCTACATTTACCACTTTGACTATTCAATCTATTTTGCCCGCTTCCTGAGCATTAAAATTCGTACAGAGTTCAAGATACACATGCAAAGCACTGAAAAGAAATGGTTTTCACCCTTTCAAATGTTGCTTTGGGAGATATGCCAGCAGAAATGACAAAACTGGACACACTTGCAGATTCGGTCGGCTGTGCGAAAGCGAGACACGTTGGGACATGCGGACTCGCTGCTGCTACACCTTCTTCTGGTTCTAATATTCTCGGAGACCGTAATCAAAACCAGGCTCTCGATTATTGCATGCTTGTCGAAATCGTGGGATTTGTTATGCTGCCTGGGTAGTTTGGAACCGCGACAATGCGAGCAACCACCAAAAGAACCCCACTCCTTTTCCACGATGTTGATTTGCGTACGGTTCTTTACATCACGTAGTTTGAGCTAGTGCAGCAAAATCCATGAAGCGGAAATAGACCCACTAGTGCGTGGCGGAAATAGACCCACTAGTGCGTGGCGGAAAAATTGGTCTCTCAATGATTTTTTCGTGGCCTCACGCCATGGTTTTCAGCCACTTAGTCACCAGTTGTATCGTGCGTTGGTCGCGATGCACTAAGAACACCAGGTCCAGCACCTAAAGTGCGAGCCTGGAAGGATGAAAAAAGTGACACAACCGAGACCCGGGCAGAAACTCTTTTTATGTACACATGCATCAAGATACATACATTTGTACAGTGCCCTCCAGGAGTTAGCCAACCGGTTCCGAAATCGGAACTGAAACCTATATACCACATCATCCCCCCCTTGAACAGAAAAGCATACGGAAGTAACACGTGACACAAGCAGAATGCAACACACTGCACGTAGCACAGTGAAAAATAAGAATTTCGAGAATTTCGCCACATCCGTTCCCTTTGAGGCCAAGTGGGAACACTTTTCCCACAGCACTTTCTCCCATAGACTAGCCGCGTTGTGCTGTTCGCATGCAGTGGTCAATTGCGCACTCAAATTATCCACAGTGGCTGGGAAAACCGTTTGTGTAACACCAAATTACGTCCACTTCATATAACGTAGTTCGTCCAAAATGACCTTAAAATTAGTGTTATTGTGAAATTCAGAACAACCGTAATCGTATCATCAAAGTTGGTTGGTGGTTTACGGGCCCTTCAAAGATAGGAGTAGAGCAGCAGAAGAAAAAGTGGCGTGGCTGCTGCGGGTCGGCTCACAAACGGCGTTCCTGACATGGCCGCTTCTTGAAATGATTTCGACAACTTCGGTCTATTCAAGAAGAATTCTGGCACTAGTGGATTTCCGAAGTTCAAGGGTAGTCTGGATACCGACATCTCATCGGTGGGTGGAATATTTTGTAAATCACGAGGACTTTTGTTCCCAACCACGCCAGTGGCACGCTAGGCCTAACGCCGCCCGGCGTGGGCCCAACTGTGTGAGGCGTGGAAGTGCGGTGCGCCCTGCAACATGGCCAGCGCTATGGAAGTCACCCTTGAAGGTGAAAATATCTCACCGGAGGACTGCAGTAAAGAGGCTGAATGGACTTCTGCCATTCACAAAAAAAAAGATTGGAAAAGCAAGCATACAACGCATCAACCTGCCAAACAACTCCGCCCTGCATGGAGGCCGCAGAAGTGAAGTCAGCGTCAAGAAGCAATTCGTGAAAGCTTCTCGACTACCGTGGCTATCGGAAGATTATATTAAGATTATCATCAGACCAAGAGGAGGCTTGGACATCAAAAAGGTGGGCGACGTTAAAACTTCCAAGGTTATAGCAGCAGCGAAGGGTCTTGCTGCAAATGACATGGCAGATGACAGCAGTGAAGGGTCTTGCCGCAAATGACATGGCAGATAACATTATCTGCTCGAAAATTATGCAAAATATATTGATCGCCAGCACGCCTGATGAAAGAAATGCGAAAGCATATGCCAGGATAGAAGCCATAGCTATTGCCAAAGCCATGTATGAAGTTAGTGCATACATGGCCGCACCTAACAACACATCCAACGGTGTGATTAGCAGGCATTGACCCATAACCGAGTCTGGATCAGCTTTGAGATCTCATAATGCACTCAAGAAACCTTAAGTGTATTGGACGTCAGAAGAATAAAATCCACGAGCTCAGGTCATCGTTCTCTTCGATGGGCTTAAAGTGCCGGATTATGTCAAATGTTGTCCCAGTCGGATGAAATGCTCGCTATACTGCAGGCAGGCGGATCGCTGATATGCATACGGGAGATTGGGCCACAGAGCAGACGTATGCCCCCCACCTGGAAACAGCATGTGCAGAGGCTGCGGCGCATGAGAACCCAAATGACACACACATGTGTACACCTAAATACACGTTGTGCGGAGGGCCCCACCCGACGGCTGACAGAGCATGTAGAAGCCGATTCCATGTTCCATATGTTGTCAGACACAAAGAAGACTACGAAAGAACTCCGAACCACTCAAGCCCAGACGAAGATTCACCAGTACCCAAAATTAGCCTTCAGCAGAAAGTCAAGATCAAGAAGTCACCCACTACAACCAGCCTGCAACCTGCACACATCGGCAAAGCTAGAGAACGACAACGGATCGGCGAAGACAAGGCCCTAAGCCAAGTCTCGAATCTAGGAGGGCGACCCCTATCGAAAGGACTTCACCGTGCTAGATCCAAGTCCCGATCTAAGTCGAAAGGTGCATCGGTACACATTCAGCCACCCAAACCAGGACTCTCCTGGGCAGACATGGTCTGTGGAAAGAGAATCCAGACTGACTGAAGCTCAACCGTATCCAGGAGGCATAACTGAATCTTCAAGGAAGACGGAGGAGCGGGACGTTCACGTGAGTACCGGATCCCGTGAGCACATTCCAGAGCATAATCATGAGATAGAAAGACTTAAAAGTGAGAATGCAGAGCTCAGGGCAATGAATCAAAATATGCTAAGAGGATTGACCGAAATCCGGAAGCTACTTAGTGAGAAAAAGCAATCGGAAAACATCGATAAGGAAATACCCATCCCTGCCCCTGCAGGAGACGCAGTTGTTTCAGCAAAGCGAAGGGCAGTAGAAGGTAGACTAAAGAGCAGTGATGCACAGGTAGAGGAAATGGAACAATCGTCGTCAACTTTCTGAGAAAACATGAAAACGATTATGGACAGCATCACACAACTCACCAGTGCTAAAAGACAAATTCAAGCGATACTTAATGACCCTAAGGAGGGCCTCAGAGCCTTCGAAAAAAGGATCAAGACCCTAGAAATGATTACCATGGCTATAGACACTCGAGAGCAACGCAGGCGCCCCCTGCTCCGACCAGCCATCCTCATCCCCGAAGCAGGGAACACCAGTACCCAATATGGCGCACACTGAAAAAGAATTCAAAATCTGGCAATGGAATTGTCCGAGCTACAATAACGAACAAGCTACTCTCAAACAATACTTGCGCACATCAGTTTACAAGCCAGATATAATAGCGCTGCAAGAAACCGGCAACAGTCACGTTACACTCACAGGCTACAAAGCAATAAAGTCCTAATCTATTGGCAGGGGCCTGTACTCAGCACAAAAGACTTGGAACTCAGCACAGACCTAGAACCTGCAAAAGACCTAGAACTCAGCACAAAAGACTTGGAGCACTTCTTGGTAGAGATCGTCATACCAACACGGAAGAATCAAAGGACTAAGAGCCTCTTTATTCTTAACGTTTACAGCAACCCTAAACATAAGTCGCATTTCCAAAAAATGTTTGAAAAAACAACCAGTAATTACTGGTAGCAGTCCAGTAATTATTGCCAGTGACTTCAACGCATGACATCAGCTATGGGGCTATATTACAACGCAGCCCAAGGGAAGAGATCTGTGGAAACATGCAAACGAACTCGACCTAATGCTAATAACCTACAAAGCATGTCCAACTAGAATTGGCAACTCAGTCATGCAGAAACATTACACCAGACTTAACATTCAACAAAAACATGGAGAACATCGAGTGGGTAAATACAGGAATGGAATTCGGGAGCGACCATTATGTACTCGAGATCCCCACAAAAGTTGCCTGTGCTAAAACGAAAGGATTCTTGCTTGTTGACTGGGACGTGTAATGCAAATCCAGATCCCAAAGACATGGCGTTAACACCCACAAAACCTTAAAGGGGTACTGACATGAATTTTTTCAGTTTTTGTTTTCTTACGTCAAATGACAGACTAGGCCTCCCAAGAGCCCATAAAATGTGTCGGGAAACGAGAGTGCGCCTTGAAAAATTAATTACAGCATGTCTTTAAAAGCTAGTTTCGTTTCCTACTGTACCCTGACGTCATGGTAGGATGTGCATGCAAAAAGCAGGATGTGCATGCGCACGTTTTCGTGACATATCAT